GTAAACAAAGCCGCCAAAGATTGAGAAAAGATGGACAAGTTCGTAAGTGCTTGCGTAACTGCTTCGTGAATCTTTATTGATGTAAAGGTTTCCGAGCCTATTGGGCTCTATCAGATCTACATTTGAAACTGTGTATGGAGTCAGCCTCCACCACATCACTTCCTAGTGCATTCCATTTCTTCCCTACTCTGACACTGAACAAATTCTTTCTAATGTTTCTGCGGCTCATTTGGGTACTAAATTTCCACCTGTGTCCCAGTGATCGTATATCACCCAAATAGACTGTCTATCTACCCTATCAATTCCTCTGAAAATCTTATAGGTGGTAATCATGTCTCCGCTAACTCTAGTCCTCCAGTGATGTGAGGTATAATTCCTGTAGCCGTTCCTTGTAGCTCATACCTCTCACCTCCGAGACTAGTCTGGTAGCATACCTCTGAACTTTCTCTAACCGTCTTGCGTTTGTCTAGACATGGACTCCACCCTAGAGCCGCATACTCCAGAACTGGTCTGACGTCTGTGATATACAAGCTTCTGAATTACTTCTTACACAAAGTTTCTGAAGGCAGATCTTATGTTGCCCAACCTAGCATATGCCTTCCCTAAATCAAGGCAACACTTTTAAGTTTCAATGAATATCTTGTATATATCTTTTGGAAGCTGGAAGCCATTGGGCAGCAGCATTCTCAAGCTATCACATGTACCCACATGAGCCATAGGGACGTTAGAAGGAACTTTTTCAGTGTCAGAGTAGTTAACAAATGGAATGCATTAGGCAGTGATGTGGTGGAGGCTGACTCCATACACAGTTTCAGATGTAGATATGATAGAGCCCAATAGGCTCAGGAACCTGTACACCAGTTGATTGACAGTTGAGAGGCGGGACTAAAAGAGCCAGAGCTCAACCCCCGCAAGCACAACTAGGCGAATACACAGTTCAGCCAGGAGGTGACAGATAAACTGCTTTCCTGTGAAGATTTAGCATCTTGCGTGACAAATGTTGCCAGATACGCTGGCAGTTACATACTGGCAACGATATATCATCATATTTTAACATTCACAAAGAGCCAATTCAATTTCTCTCTTTATTATGCACCCCATACCCATCCCGTGGGCGGTGGTGTAAAGGATTACAGATACCTGGTTGATACCTGGTTGATGGGGTTCTGGGAGTTCTTCTACTCCCCAAGCCCGGCCCGAGGCCAGGCTTGACTTGTGAGAGTTTGGTCCACCAGGCTGTTGCTTGGAGCGTCCCGCAGGCCCACATACCCACCACAGCTCGGCTGATCCGGAACTTCTCTTAGAAAACCGTCCAGTTTCCTCTTGAAGATGTCCACAGAGGCACATAATCGGTTCAGGAACTGAACCCTCTAGCCAGAGCTCAATCCCCGCAAGCACAATAAGGCGAGTACATCTCTTGGTTTAGTTCAAAACTCCTTCACATGCAAATAAATTTACATTTTCTATAACCAACATAAATTTTGACCGTTTCTATAAAACTACCAAAACCGTATATACTTACCAGAAAAAAAGTTAATGTGCTACACAAGTACGATTCGCTAATCGTTATTAATAATTTGTTCAGAATTCCGTGCTTTATTGACTCTTTAGTCTCTATTAGTAAGCTGGTGAGCTACACATTTTACTGTTCATTTAAACCTCACTAGGAAACCTCCGTTGTTGTAAGCCTCAGTGTGTAGACTAGAGGCCAGATTCACGAAGCAGTTACGCAAGCATTCACGAACCTGGGGCCAGATTCACGAAGCAGTTACGCCAGCACTCACGAACCTGTACATCTTTTCTCAATCTTTGGCGGCTTTGTTTACAATTATTAAACAGTTAATGAGCTCCGAAGCACCAGGAGGCTGTTTATAACAATAACAACAGTTGATTGGCAAGTTTTCATGCTTGTAAACTGTTTAATAAATGTAACCAAAGCCGTCAAAGATTGAGGAAAGATGTACACGTTCGTAAGTACTGGCGTAACCTCTTTGTGAATCTGGCCCCAGGTTCGTAAGTGCTGGCGTAACTGCTTCGTGAATCTGGCCCCAGGTTCGTGAGTGCTGGCGTAACTGCTTTGTGAATCTGGCCCCAGGTTCGTGAGTGCTGGCGTAACTGCTTTGTGAATCTGGCCCTAGGCTAGTATGACCATGAGTACTTCTCTCTACGATTCATGCAGCGGAAACCTAAATATCAAAACAAAACAGACTTCAAACATTTATTTATATACAAGAAGGTGTATTGCGTTAGAGTACAGAGGCTTGAAGTTTTACATTGTTGTAAAGCCACTAGCACGCGCAGCGTTTTGGGCAGAATGCAAGATAGTTTTCGCAAGTTTCGCAAGACTACGGGGACCAGATTCTTTAAGCAGTTATGCAAGCACTTACGAACCTGGGGCCAGATTCACGAAGCAGTTACGCAAGCACTTACGAACCTGGGGCCAGATTCACGAAGCAGTTACGCAAGCACTTACGAACCTGGGGCCAGATTCTTTAAGCAATTACGCAAGCACTTACGAACCTGGGGCCAGATTCACGAAGCAGTTACGCAAGCACTTACGAACCTGGGGCCAGATTCACGAAGCAGTTACGCAAGCACTTACGAACCTGGGGCCAGATTCACGAAGCAGTTACGCAAGCATTTACGAACCTGGGGCCAGATTCACGAAGCAGTTACGCAAGCACTTACGAACGTGTACATCTTTTCCTCAATCTTTCACGGCTTTGGTTACATTTATTAAACAGTTTACAAGCATGAAAACTTGCCAATCAACTGTTGTTATTGTTATAAACAGCCTCCTGGTGCTTCGGAGCTCATTAACTGTTTAATAATTGTAAACAAAGCCGGCAAAAGATTGATAAAAGATGTACAGGTTCGTAAGTGCTGGCGTAACTGCTTCGTGAATCTGGCCCCAGGACGCAAGGCTATTACTTCCCACAAACTCGACTCTTGACCACATGCTGTAAGGTTAATAAAGCATGCTTTAACCTTAGTCAAGTCCTGCGTGCCTGAGCGTGTCTTTACTAAATATGATAACTAATATATCTGACATTTGCAAAAATGACTCACATTAGCAATTATTGTGATCATATGAGTAATGTGCGTTATTTACCGCCCCCACCGGACGAGGCTGGTGTGTATGATAAACAAAGTTATGAAACTAGCTCACTATATACCTTAGTTACTTACCTGACCAGACCACACACTAGACAGTTTTTTTTATTATTATTATTTTCTACCACAAACGTGGCAACACATTTACAATGCTAACCAGCATATATACATTTTCTTCTGTCCTCCATGGACAGGGTTAGAGATGTGTTAAACATATAGTTCAAGGGTTTATTGAACAATCAACCACAGAAGGTGATTCGGTGCTTTTAAAATGCTAAGCTAACCTACATACGTAAATACTAGACAGTGAAGGGACGACGACGTTTCCTGCTTGATACCTAGTCTTTGGTCCCGCCTCTCAACAGGTGTACAGATTCCTGAGGCCGCTCCAAGCAACAGCCTGGTGGACCAAACTCTCACAAGTTAAGCCTGGCCTCGGGCCGGGCTTGGGGAGTAGAAGAACTCCCAGAACCCCATCAAGCAGGTATCAAGCTTCTCAAGCTCTATCATATCTACATTTGAAACTGTATATGGAGTCAGCCTCCACCACATCACTGCCTAATGCATTCCATTTACTAACTCTGACACTGAAAAAGTTCTTTCTAATGTGTGAGTGTTGAGTTGTGTGGTGCGCCCTGGCCCAGTGTTGCAACACTTGCAGCTTGGGTGGCAGGTCATAACACAGCCGTGGAGCTTGTATCTACATCATATACTGTTACACGGATCGTATCCCCCTACACAAAAGACAAAGGGACCAATATACCACTCAAGGTATGATGTTACAGCTGTCGATATCGAGGCAAAAGGGAACATGTCGCACCAAGGAATACTTAAGGTGCCTGGGTACGTCTACTTAATGACGGTCTTGGTACCTGGTTGATACCTGGTTGATGGGGTTCTGGGAGTTCTTCTACTCCCCAAGCCCGGCCCGAGGCCAGGCTTGACTTGTGAGAGTTTGGTCCACCAGGCTGTCGATTGGAGCGGCCCACAAGGCCACATATACCTGGTTGATGGGGTTCTGGGAGTTCTACTCCCCAAGCCCGACCCGAGGCCAGGCTTGACTTGTGAGAGTTTGGTCCACCAGGCTGTTGCTTGGAGCGGCCCGCAGGCCCCACATACCCACCACAGCCCGGTTGGTCCGGCACTCCTTGGAGGAATAAATCTCCACGGTACCTAAATTTACCCGAGGGCCACTAATACCACTAATACTTCCTGTCCTCGTCGAGGCCGACGGCTTGTCAAAAGGTTCTCCTCCCCATTTGCCCTGAGGTACATCTACTTAGCGAGGAGATTGGGCTTAAGATAGATCAATTAAGGCACGCGTTTGGCGCCAAGGTAGGCCTACTATGAAGAAATAGGTGTGGCATCCCACACTGAGGTAATTATTCATTGTGGTGTAATTCTGTGCTAGTCAGTACAAGTATCAGCAGTATAAGGCAGGCAGAATAATGTGTGGTACACGTCTGATCAATAACACTTCTGTAATGGTAAGACAAGGGTACACAAGGTACATGGGTTGGTGTGCAGGAGACGGTACACCACAGGGAGGAGGCAGGTACACCACATGGAGGAGGCAGGTACACCACAGGGAGGAGGCAGGTACCACCAGCTACACCACAGGGAGGAGGCAGGTACCACCAGGTACACCACAAGCAGCCAGGTACCACCAGGTACACCACAGGGAGGCAGGTACCACCAGGTACACCACAGGGAGGAGGCAGGTACGTGGGTGTTCAGGTAACCAATCAGGTGAAGGGTACAGGTGAACAGTCCCCCAAACACCACGTTATCGAGACGTATTTGGCGGGGAAAAAAACAGCTGACGAGAGGTCAATGCGGTCGTAATCAGCTGTTGTTGTTGTGGTAGTAGCCGTAGTAGCACTTACCCTTGCAGGTATTTATGAATGAAGGTGTCTGGTCGAGGGATAGTCTGGTGCTGGTCGCTGCCAAGACCTTGCGACCCGCCTGGCTGCGAGATCTGGCGAATTAGACCCACAAATTTCTTTTTCAAAGACGGTCCGGAGCTGTTTCGACTCATCTTGATGACTAGGAGAGAAATCAAACGGTAACGTCTTTTACAAATGTCGGTATTAGTGTAATTTAACAGAGCTCATTGCCCCCCCGACGACAAAAAATTATGACACCGCTCCCCCTCACAGTCTGATCTCGACTGTTTTGATTATGGCGAGATGCTGCCTTTCGTCTTCACATTGAAGTTGTCGTACTTTACATCAACCACATTTGTCCTCTTCTCCACAGAGATTCCTTAATATTCCCTCAACAATATGTTATTTTAGCTCCATACTAGATTATAATATTCAATTTGTAAAGATATACAAGATGATAATACTGTGGAGGTTAATGTTTGTACAGGAGGCAGGGAGGTTATCGTGGTACTTGTGTTGATATGCTGCACCAGGTGAGCCCGTTTTCTATACCCTGGAGACGGTGTTGGGGTGTCTCGCCTAGTTCATCCGCATTTTTTATTCATACTTAAATAATTCCATTCATTGTGTCGGGGGACAGGAAGCCAGAGTGTATTCATACACGTTTTGGCTTTTTTTTAATCGAGGTCATCTTCCCCCCCTCTCCCCCAAGGCCGAATTACTGACCCCCACCCAGGATGGAACCCCTGGTCCACAGGACTATGTATCCAGCGTGCTGTCCACTCAGCCACCGGCGCCCAGTAGATGTGTTCGTACCCAAAATATGACAGATTAACTAAAGCAACATATCCCTAACTGTTGTATAATTTAATTCATTCATTGTGTCGGGGACAGGAGGCCAGAGTGTATTGACTTGTACACTTCACAAGACAATTGTAACATGTTGTAGTTGAAGTCAAGTGCAGTTACTCGATGACAATTATTAATTGTAAAGTTGAAGGTTATTTCATGTAGACGACATATTACATCTTGACCTCTGAATGTGTAACCTAAACCTGACGAGTTTACCCAAATTTTGCTCGTAATTGTGTTTCACAGCGGGGAGCCGGTCGGCCGAGCGGACAGCACGCTGGACTTGTGATCCTGTGGTCCTGGGTTCGATCCCAGGCGCCGGCGAGAAACAATGGGCAGAGTTTCTTTCACCCTATGCCCCTGTTACCTAGCAGTAAAATAGGTACCTGGGTGTTAGTCAGCTGTCACGGGCTGCTTCCTGGGGGTGGAGGCCTGGTCGAGGACCGGGCCGCGGGGACACTAAAGCCCCGAAATCATCTCAAGATAACCTCAAGATAAGAAGATAGCCTATAAGCCGCTCGATGACGATAGTAAATCAAGGACTTTATCAAAACTTTGCAAAGATGAAATAAAGCGAAACATGCATTAGCTATGAACAAATCCACAAGGGCCGTGACGAGGGTTCGAACGGGTCCGAGAGGGTCCCAGACGCTGCCTTAATTTGATGCATCACGCTATTGTGATTTCTGTGTGTAATGCATTAGCTATTCAGACAGGTCATTGGTACGTATATAAGCCAGTTCAAACAACTTAAATGGCCCCCTCGCTCCTGTGCCAGGTAAGTCCACTACGGGCTCACCATAGCCCGTGCTACTTGGAACTTTTATTCCGAGTAGCTGAATTTAAAACAACAAAACAACTTAAATGAAAACCTGCCTAACACCCTAAGGTACCCAGCCTAGCCCCATTCAACCCCCTATTAAACGTAACCTTTCCTAATCAAGCCTAATCCCACTCAAACTAATTGAACCTAACCTAATCTAACCCAGCCCAGCCTCACTTAACTAGTCTTAATTGTTTGGAAAACAAGTTATATGCGAGAATGACTTACAGCATGTTCCATCAACCACCATAGTACTTTACAAGTAAGCTCCCGTATATATAAATCACACCATAAGATCAGCAGAGAGAGAGAGAGAGAGACACGGGAGACATCTCCCGTCACGCAGGGTGCAGTCGCACCTCCACAGATCTCCAGTATCAGCTCTTGATACTGGTAATGGCTCAAAAGGGCCACCACTTACAGGCTATTCATGCCCGTGCCACCTTTTGGGTGGCTTAATCTTCATCAGATCAGCAGATACAATGTTATATTTACCCATTTTAGACTTTTATCAATTTCAGACAATTTGTACCTCCAAGCTGCCGAAGGTCAGCCAAGAAGATAAATACTGAGGGGCAATTAAACTACCATCACATCCTAAATCACGATATAACAATGTCAAACGGTTCAAGAAATAAGGTGTAACACCGCTTTCACTACCTTCTTACACTTTACATCTTGGCAGGTGGTGGTGGAGGCCAAAACCGTCAGTAGTTTCATAGCGTTATACGACAAAGAGTGCTGGGAAGACGGGACACCGCGAGCGTAGCTCTCATCCTGTAACTATTCTTAGGTAATTACACTTGAGGTAATTACACTAGTAATATTGCGCCATTCTGAGCAGCGCCGACTTACTAGACAGTCGTTTCCTTCACAAGAGATTTATTTTAGTCAAGATCTAGATTTTAATTTGATGTATTATTTTTATTATTGTAGAATGAACGAGTGGAGATTAATGGTTGATCTCAGCACTTCTGAATTACGTGATAATTAAAACAGACCTAGGGGAAGGTCCTAGGTCCTAGTTAAAGATACCCTACAGGCACTCCAAGCTGTTCTGTAGACGGAATTAGTACTTACAATAAGCTGAGACGGTGGAGACACCTTTACACTGTCTCGAGGCTCCTCACACCACCACCTCCCTGTCCATCAACACCTCATTCACTACCTGTACCCCGTTTCCATGACCCCCTTGTTACCTAGCCCAGCTGTTAACCCCTTCAACACGGGGTTGAGGGAACCTTTTTGCTCTACCGCTCACAGGATGAGGATGGGGTACACAAACTAGCCGCCTCTGGTGGCAACAATCAATCAAGACCCCCCCCCCCTCAACATGGGGTTGTTGAGGGGACCTTCCTCCCCCACAACACGGGTTTGTTGAGGGGATTTCCAACTTATTACAGCACACATACAACCTACAACTCTTTATAATAATAATAATAATAATAATAATTTTTATTTAGGTAAGGTACATACATAAAGAGATTTTACAAAGTTTGTTGGCTTTATAGATAGAGCTAGTACATACAATGCCTAAAGCCACTATTACGCAAAGCGTTTCGGGCAGGAAAAACATTAATGACTAAAGCTTAAAACTAATGGGTAAAAAGAATAAAATGTGTTGAGAACAAATAAAAATAGAGGTAAAAGAGGGGGGAACATTGTTGAAAAAGCAGCACAAATACAATTACAAATTATTACAGAAAATTACATTCAAACAGCGTTGATTTGAAAAAAAAAAACATACATGGGTTGACAATAGAGGGGTAAGGTAGGTTACAGGGAATTTATTAGGTATAGCTTCGTTTTTAACTTAAACTGGTTGAGAGAGGTACAGTCTTTAACATGGTTGGGAAGGTCATTCCACATTCTGGGCCCCTTGATTTGTAGAGCATTTCTGGTTTGATTAAGTCGTACTCTAGGAATATCAAAACTGTATTTATTTCTGGTGTGGTGCTCATGGGTTCTGTTACAACCTTCTATGAAGCTTTTGAGATCAGGATTGGCATTATAGTTTAGCGTTTTATATATGTATAATACACATGAGAGAATGTGCAGTGACAATGTCTAACATTCAGAGATTTGAGTAGGGGTACCGAGTGATGTCTGGGGCCAGAATTGGATATTGTCCTAATAGCAGCTTTGTGTTGAGTAATTAGAGGACGTAAGTGATTTTGGGTAGTAGAGCCCCAAGCACAAATACCATAGTTGAGATATGGATAGATAAGGGAGTAATAGAGTGTCACCAGGGCAGGGCGTGGTACATAATATCTGATCTTAGAAAGAATGCCCACAGTTTTTGAAACTTTTTTTGATATGTTTAGAATGTGTCCCTGGAAATTCAGCTTGTGGTCAATGAGAATGCCAAGGAATTTGCCATCTAATTTGTTACAAATTTGTGTATTGTTTATTTTGAGATTTATTTGATTAGAGGATTTATTGCCAAACAGAATATAGAAAGTTTTGTCAATGTTAAGGGTGAGTTTGTTGGCAGTTAGCCACAGATGGACTTTATTTAGCTCAGTATTTACTGTGGCATTTAGAGCAAGGGGATCAGGATCAGGACTTTACGTTAAACTCTTCCTCACCTTCATGTCTCTTACTCTTTCCAATTGATGACTTGTCATATAACACAATAACTTGTTATGTACAACTTGTTACGTTGGTGGGGTGCCAGTCTTTTTGACAATAAAGACACCCTCATTTACTATCTAAACACACAATCTAGCAAGCCCACTAGTTTGGGTGGGTCGAGGCCCAGTCCCCAAGGAAATACTCCCAAAATTAGTATGTTTAACTAAGAGTTAATCCCCCCAAACACTGGACAAAAGTAAGTAATTATCAGAAGAAGGCACCAAACCTGGAAGGCTATTTAGCACCATCAAATGTGTGGGATAATCAGAGGGCGCTAAATATCACCAAAGAAGCCAATACGAGAACAAACGCATAAGGTGAACGATATCAAAAGTATCAGAGTCACCAAGAATACTATCGAGAGACAAGCGACCGCGGGAGATGGTCGTTAAACAAAACACGCTCGTCCCGGAAGTCAGGACATTCAACAAGGATATGCACAACCATAAGAGGAACAATACAATTAGGAAAATAAGGAGCAGGGCGGCACTCCATCAAATGACCATGAGTTAAGCGAGTATGGCCAATACGCAACCTCACCAGAGCCGTTTCCCATTATTTATTTATTTATTTATTTATTTATGCATATACAAGAATGTACATAAGGAATGTGAGGATACAATTATGGTAATTACAGTCTTGTAAAGCCACTAGCACGCGCAGCGTTTCGGGCAGGTCCTTAATCTAAGAAAATTTTAAGGAGGTAAATACTTGCAAAATTTATAGACAAAAAATGATAACAGATTACATGGAATGAAAAAAAAAAAAAAAAAAGATGAGAGAAAATTATAGGTACAGTATATTAAAGCACATAGGTAGCTATGATTGATTGCAATGACAGCTTAAAATGGTAGTTGACAACAAATTGGTAGGCACAATACAGCAGAAACAATATAAGATTGATTGCAATGACAGCTTGAATGGTAGTTGACAAAAATTGGTAGTCACAATACAGCATATGGCTAGCACAT